GGACGGGCCGCCCGCACCGGCAGCAGCGCCAGCGCCGCGGGGCTTCGGCGGCGCCATCGAGAGGAGCCGCGACCTGCTGCGCAGGGTCAAGGTGCCGCGCGSGGCTCTCTGTATTTCACCCTTCCCGTGTCCTGCGTTATGTTCCTGACAGCCGGGAGGGCTCTTTGTGCCCGGGGTTAGCGCCGCAGCGCGGGCGCAGGGCGGGCTGGAGGCTCTGGAGAGGGTGGGCGAAGCTGGAGTGGTCGGTGCTGCCTTGGAAGCTGCTGAAGCGCCTCATATTCCCTTCTTTAACATCCACTGCTGTGCACGTACTACGTATTGACTCTAAAAAAACACTTAGCTAAGTTATTTTTACACTGCCAGGTTTGTAATTTTGATCCTTGTATTGTCCAGTCCAACTAATGCTTAACAAAATAATTTCAGTTGTAATTTGGCAACAGTTTACAATAGTTTTTTATCTGGAGGGTTAACTTAGCTTCTTTAGGATTTTGAGTTTTGGTTTTGTTTTAACTCTTTAAATGTCTCCTCTCTCTCCTTCGATAGGATGAAGCAGGAATCCCGGGCATAGTGGTTGGAGTTTCTGTAGATGGAAGGGAAATCTGGGCAGAAGGTTTGTATAAAGTATTGTTGGTTGGAAAATGATGAGTGCTCTTTAAAATTTGATTTCAGTAATCTGAATTCTAACAGTTACTTCACTATTTACTTCAGACACAAGTGTTAAATTTTTAAGTTGACTTCAGCATCTGCCTATACTATGTGGATTAAGGGTTCATAACTGCCTAGACTTTCAAATGAGGTAAAGGAACCGTTAGAGAGGTCTCTGAGAACAAAGAATCATCAGTACAAGGCTTCAAAAGTTATTCTGTCCATTGATTGATCTAACATATGTGTTATTAAGCTATACTGTACTCTTTATTAATTTTATTGACACGAATRTTTATATCTCCCCTGTTTATATCTCTTAATATTATGTAGGCATTTGATGTCTATTTTAAATACTGTATACTTTCRGAAACACTTTGGTAGGCATGTGGGTTATTTTTATGAAAGGTAATAGTAGTGCATAACAACATATTTCATTAAAGTGAAGTTACAGAAATTGAAAGATTTTTAACTAACTTTCTCCTGTGTTTTCATATGGAGTTTTCATTTCAGGTGGTGGTTTTGTTTTCTTACAGGATTGGGTTATGCCGATGTAGAGAATCGTGTGGTGTGTAAACCAGAGACCGTCATGCGAATTGCTAGTATTAGCAAATGTCTTACCATGCTGGCTGTTGCTAAATTGTGGGAAGAGGGAAAACTGGATCTAGATGCTCCAGTGCAGAAATATGTCCCTGAATTTCCAGAAAAAACCTATGAGGGTGAAAAGGTATGTGGTAGTTTGTTGCTAACTCTTGTTTAGACTTTGTTCCTGCTATTGCCCAGCCGTGTGTGTTTGTACCTGGATCTGTTAATGGAAAACACGAGAAGTCCTTTAGACTTATACTGACTGCTTGAAAAAGCAACATAGGAATTTTGGATCTTCAGTTCTATGTTAAGAGTGTGTATATATACACTTAGGTATTTATGTATTTATATTTCGAACCATTCTAATATACAGCATATAAAAGGTTCTGTTTCTGTGACTTTCCTTGTCCTGTTCTTTTGTTTGATTCAGTATCCTTCATGTCTTGAGTTACAAGGACTTACCCTTTGCTATTGTCCTTTCTGCCTAGGTCGTTATTACTACAAGACTATTAGTTTCACACTTGAGTGGCATTCGTCACTATGAAAGAGATATTGCAAAAGTAAAGGAAGAGAAGGAAAAGGCTAACAGAGCATTTAAACTAACAAAATCTAACCAGGAGAAGGAGTTAAAAGAAAAAGAAGCTAAAGGCCTTGAAAAGACCGATTCTGTCAAAGCTAAGAAAGAACATGAAGTTGAGGTAAAAAGCCGAAATTCAAAACCTGGCAGGAGAGAAAAGGAATTTGAACAAGAAGAATATTATTTGAAGGAAAAATTTGAAAGTGTGATTGAATCACTGAAGATATTTAAAAATGACCCTCTGTTTTTTAAACCAGGTGAATTTCTATTTCTTTTGATTTAAGAACTTTTTTTAAGTGAAATTTTCACTAGATTCACGTTTTTACATGCAATTAAGTTAATTTATTCCAATGAAGTGGTGTAGATTTTGTTTATTTTTCCCATGTTCCACTAAAAACTCGATGCAAAGCAATGCAGTAAGGATGTTTTAGACTTTGAAATACCTGTTCAGTAGAGTATATTCCTTGTACAGAGAGGTCCATTATCTGTTTACACTACATCTGTTTGTAACCATTTGTTTGGTTTTCCTGCTACTTCAGCTACAACAATTAGGCTTCATTTAATTGTTTTTAATATTCACATTGTGGAGGAGGGGCAGTTGATTAATGAAATACACCAGTATACCAAACCTTATTGAGGATGCTGAAATGATTTAATTCCAGTGATTTGAGGAGTTTCAGATATAAATTTTAAATGATTTGGGTTAGGAGGCAAACAATACTTACCGCCAATAAACAAGAGCAAGTAATGAGCATTTAAGGGGAGGTGGATATGAAGGGGAAGAAGTTGACTGTTTTTTTCCACCTTGGAGAGTTCTGAGTTAACTGAAGCATTTCAAGTAAGGGGTCTGTCTGTGACTGTGTGTTGTTCAACAAAAACTTCTGCTTGGTAAGCTGGGATTTCATAAAAATTGTCAGCACAAGAAGCAAGGAGATGAAAAACATAAAGCATCGTCTAAAAATCTACTAGTGTTACTGTTCGTGTGATGTTAMAGGATACTCTAGAACTAGAAAGGCTAAAACATGAAGATAACAGTGACTGAGGATCTTAGAAAAGCTTGAACTAATAGTACCCCCTGCCTTTCTACCTCTAAGGTATAGATACATAAACAAATCACAGTGGGTCAGCTTCTCCTAGGAACTGATTTCATGGCTCACTTTATCTGCTCCAAATCCAGATATCCTTGTTAGAACTAATATGGTAAGTCTTGAAGGAACGATATGAAAGCGTTATTCTTACATCTCAGCATTTTCATTTAAGCATCATGCAGCTAACTTTTTTTTTGTTATTTTTCCTCTCCTTTTTTACATTTCCTTAAGGCAGTCAGTTCTTGTATTCAACATTTGGCTTTACCCTCTTAAGTGCTGTTGTGGAAAGAGTTTCAGGACAAAARTTTACAGATTACATGCTAAAAATGTTTCAGGACCTGGATATGCTGTTGACTGTACAGGATGACAATGAAGCAATGATATATAACAGAGCAAGGTAAACRAGACTGAGATTTTACTCTACCTTTTCCATACTAATTGTTCTTTCTATCTTTTGAGCCTACTAAGTTTGTTTGTTTTTGGTAGGTGTTTAGATGAAGTGGTTCTGGTTATTTATGTTATTTCAAGTTTGAATTTTATCTAAGCATTATGGTATTGCTGCTGTAATTAACATATGAAATAACAGAATAGAAAACAAGTGTTATAAGGGAATATATATATTTTTATATATATGTATATGTATACACACACACAAATACATATATATTTAGAGAAAGAGGTTGTAATGGCTAATTTTGAAGTTTCCATTTAGCTTGGTTGCAAATAAGCAGGTGAGAGGATAAATGAAAATGAAGAGGTAACTGGGAGGCCATCATGCAATGTGTATTTACCTTAGCTTGCTCTACATGCTGACTTCCAAAGATTAAATTGATTAAATTATAGTATCACTTTTAACCAGAATTAAAATCATACTTAACACAAAACTTGTTTCACCAATTGATATCTTTTTAAGATTTTTAAAAAAGAATTTATGTAACTAGATAACTGTTAGGATTTAGTAAGAACTGTGCTTGTCTTCTCTTGTTCTYTCCAATATTATTTTACTTAGCTACCTTTGATGACTTTGTTGAGTCAGCTCTTAAATTTTGATACAATAAGAGAATTCTAAGTGCATCATGTACACTTGTAGAAAAAGCCTCATAAAACCACAATTTGGTTTCTAAAAAGCTCTTAATGAAAATGGTAATAGATGCGCTGAATCCAATCTGAGAGAGAGAGAGAGAAAGAGAAACACACTTTTTCAAACTGAACTATAGTAGGAATGAAAACTGGTATAGATCCTGCCAGGAGAGTCATCTCATGGGCTGAGTCATGCCTTGAGCATCTTTTTTAGAAACTGTTATCATGATAGAAAAATTGAATGTAGAGAAACTGAGATGCGCAGATCAATGGCTAGGATGATGGCAGAGTGGAAATCTTTATTTCTGTTTGTTTTTGTCTCCATTTGTGAATTTTATGTTATCACTTTCAAAGATCACTAAATGTTTTCAACGTAAATGCAGACTTTTTCAGTGTAAATGCATGCGTACCTATTGGGTAGTAAATACACTTTTATACTTTTTAGGGATCTCTTTAAATTGACTATGGGCTTCTTGTGGTCTAAAGACCAAAATTAGAAATTTACAAGTTTACATCATTATTCCATGTTCCTCTTGGTGTGTTGTATGAAATGAATCCAGTTGTGACTGGACTGTTCATGTCAGAAGCCTAAATCACTCATTCCTAATATTGTGTCTCTAATTCTGATTGATGGTTTCTATTTTAACAAAAAGATTTTGCAAGACTCTTTCATGCTTCTGAGTCTCATGAGTAGTTCTGCCATACTCAGTTATTCTACATAACCACTGTAGTGGAGGAGAAAAAAAAAAAAAAAAAAGGTAGCCATAAATGGAAAACACTGCCTACAAGGGGAGTAGTTGGATTCCTTTATCTTGAAATACTTTAAATTTATTTTACAGGTTTAAGAAAGATCCTGTGTTGGCTGATCTGTAGACTTCTTCTGTGTCTTCTGTATTGCCTTGACCCTTGTGTATATCTTGTTAGTAAGAAGAAAGATTAGTGTTTTGTTAAAATGAAATGTCTGACCTAAAAGGTCTTGCTTATTTGGTCTTTGTTTTCCCATTTGAATTTCTTTACAATTTGATTTTCTGAAAAAAAAAAATATGTATATATTTGCTATTTATATTTTAAAAAGACAATTCTAAAGTTTCTTGAGAACAAGTAAGGTATTTCAAAATAGTTTGCATAGTATTTGAGAATGATGAGCTAAATTTTCTTGAATTATAGGTATTATGTTTACAACAAAAAGGGACGGCTGGCGAACGCGCCGTACGTGGACAACTCTTACAAATGGGCTGGTGGTGGCTTTTTGTCCTCAGTGGGTGATCTTCTGAAATTTGGAAATGCCTTGTTGTACAGTTACCAAGTTGGGCGGTTTAAAAACATCGATGGCAAACTTCTTCCTGGGTACCTCAAACCAGACACCGTYGCAATGATGTGGACCCCGGTGCCGAAAACTGAAGTCTCGTGGGACAGGGATGGTAAATACGCCATGGCTTGGGCCGTAGCAGAGAAGAACCAAGAGTACGGCTGCTGCCGCCAGCAGAGACATTACGCTTCCCATACGGGAAGCGCGGTGGGCGCCAGTAGCGTCCTGCTTGTTCTTCCCGAAGAGCTGGGCTCCGAAGCCATGGAAAATGGGCTCGTGGTCCCACCTCGAGGAGTCATTGTTACCATTATCTGTAATATGCAATCGGTTTCCCTCAGCAGCACTGCCTTAAAGATTGCAAGGGAATTTGATAAAGAAAAATGGCTGCAATATGTAGATTAAAAAAACAAACAAACACAATTTTGAGTAACTGAACTACTGTACTGAAACATGGAAAAAAGAGAGGTRCAATTGAGGTCTGATATTACTAAGAATATATGATAGAAAGTATCAGAAATTCACTTAATCAACTTCTGTTAGTGGTGCTACATTTTCCTGTAACTGGATTCATCTCTCAGGGAAGTTCCTAGCTTATAAAACAGAATGTAAAAGTTGAATTTGACTTCCTGTTTTACCCATGTAAATTATCATTATATTACTGGGTCTTGATTTTGATTTTTTGTCCCCCACCCATCCAGTCAGACATTTAACCAAGATTAAAATTAGATTAGGACTGATTTCTTGTACTAAGAAGTGCAGCAACAAATTATATGAATTAAATATTGTGGAAAAACTTGTTGCATCTTGACTTGAATACACAAAAGCACCTACCCTCTCCCTCTCCCCCAATTCAGGTCTGCCAAAATTATTCAGTATTATTCACAAAGTTTTAGTGTCTGTTTTATTTTTTTACAGAGCTTTTCTTAATTTGTTTAAGAAAAAAAACAAGAAGCAAATACTGAAGCTACCTCTAGAAGGCAGTACTTAAAAAAAAAACAAACAGAAATGTGGATTGTTGAATTCAAAAAGAATAAAGCTAGAGTACTGTGAGTAAAAATCTTTTCATTATGTAGCTATCGGGGCTTCCATTTTGATTGAGCGCAGAGAATGTGTGAAACTTTTTTTTTTTTAAACTGTGAAATAAGTCTATTATTTCACAGTTGAATATACCAGAATAGCACAACATGGAAAGCCATCAACGTGTGTCCTTGTTAGCTTTCCCTACAAGGGAAATCAGCCACGCTATGCATGTCCTAACTTTGGTAGTAGAGGTGGTAGCTACTAGCCAGAAACAGCACTGTATTCTGATGTGGAGATAGCCCTTTAGATAAAGAAAATAATAGAACTCAACTTATGTAAATGCCATTCTTGAAGTTAGTAGAAGATGGATTCTTTTTTAATGTATGTTTTTAAATGTCCTTTTTCCAATTCTGGAGATCTGCCTTTTTATTGCCATTCTGGAAACCCACCTAAGGAGTTACTTACGCACAAAGTGAGTAAAAAATGATTGTGAGAAGTTTCCAAAAAGCTGTATCTAAGCTTCATTTTTATTACAGGAGTATGATAACAGCTGAATATTGTGCATTTTATGTATTCCATAGTGGCATCTCCTTTTCCTGAAGGGGAGGGCGAGGCAAAAGGTTGTTTACTGCTTGGTCATCATCTCTTTACTGAGCTGTGTTTTTTTTTTTTCCCAGCCTGTTTTTGTTCAGAATGGGTTTTAAGTCTCTCAGTATAGGAAATTATATGTACTTTGTGGTGTGTGGAGGGGCATGTTACTCTATTGTCTACACACCCTAACTGGAAAGGGTTGCAACTACTGCTTTTTCTTTGTGTCACACTAATTTGTAAAATGTGGCATAGCTCTTGAGAGCTTCTGTACTGTTTCTAATGCAGAAAATAATAACATTTCTGTCCCCAGTGTTAGATTTGGAATGCTGGAAAAGTTGGGGTCATCTTTTCATTTTTAAAATTGATAGCAAATTCTCAAACGAGCTGTATCCCAGTCTCTGCGACCTCTTACCTGTTTAGAGTGAGGCAGCCCAGACTGAACTGCTTTAGTGTATTCTCCTCTGGCAACTGCTTCAATTCTCCCTTTCACAAGTGTCTTTTGGTTAAGTTTGTCCCAAGGAAATGTGTCTTTAGGCGAATTCCCTTGTGTTTCTTGCACACTGCTAAGCATGACGTCAGTCCCCGAACAGTTGGGAAGTGTGGGTGTGGATGTGCACATATATCTTTTTGTGTGTGTGTGTGTTTGTTATCAGGCCATAGCTGCCTCTTCCTCAAGTTAATAATTGATACCTGTTGTGTGGTGAAATAAAGTTGTTAGCTTTGTTCCCAGTATACCCAGTTATTTATGGTTAGGTTACAGTTATGCSTGGCAAGCCACAAAATATTATTTTATGATGCCTCAATGTTTTATCAAGACTTTTAATTCACAATGGTATGACTGATTGTTTTAGCATTTTTCATGATGGTGTATAACCATTCTTGTGCCTTAAAGCAATACTTTTTGCTTGGGTTTTATAGCCCAYCTACTTTTGTTGTTTTTTAATTCATTAATATCAAACCAGTAGAAAGATTATAGGCATGAATTTTTTTCTGAACAAAATGTTCATTTGATCAAGCAATAAATTCATTTATTTTCTTCTTTGAACTCTTTAGTAATAGTTGACAATTCCAATACAGAAATACTGAAGATGAGCATCTCCTACAGTGGCAGCAGGCTTTCAGTCTTGAGCTCCTAGTAACTGGTAAGAATGCTACAACAAAAGCCATTGCTCAGACAGGGAATGAGTTATTTGTTCCAAACTGTTCTCGTGTTGAAGGATACATTAAAAGGAATTGACAGAATACAATGTTTTAAATGCAGAAACCCTGAAAACTAACAYTGCTACAGTAAGATATAATCTGGTTTTGTTGTGTGATAAGTTTTAGGTGTTTGTGTGTGTTTGTATGTAATTGTTTTGGGGAGAAAAAGTGTATACTTGAGAAAACAAATTTCTTTCGGTGCCTGTTGTGTCTAGGCTTAAATAGAGATTCAGCATGTAAGAAGTTTACCAGTGTGCTTGTCTACATGTGACCAAATAATGCATCACAAATTAATACCTGATGTACATGTGAAAGCAAAGAATGGCCAGAAGTGTCTAAGACATTTCTAACACTAAGCTATTAATGGCAGTATCTCACTTGGCAAGTAGAATGGTTCGCCATTAACTTGATATGCAGAGACATCATTCTTTATACTGTATCTCTGGTAACTGAAGGCTGTTAAAAAAACAGTGTTCAAATGTCGCCAGGCTTTTGCCATGTGCACACAATTAGAGACATTAACAATGTTTACATTTCACCTAGTACCTGTATCAAAGGAAGACAGTGACTCATTTTACTATGGTAATTCTTACTTAATCATGACTTGTAAGTTCTCATCTGTTGGGRGGTGGGGAGAAAAAGAGTGATGTGGGAGAGCAGAACTCAGCGTAGTTGTAGCACATGTATTCAGATCACAGATTAATTAATATTGCTACTCTTTATTCTGAAACCAGTTATTTGACAGACTAGCATTAAATGTGGGCTACTGTCTGCTCAGTCAAGTGCAACCTGAGTGACAGAAAACACAGTATGGGACTGACTTAGAACTACTTTCCCTAAAAGGCATGTATGTTGTTGTATCTGTTTCTCTGTCAAACACCTGCTTTTTGCATCTGATAATTACCAGTGTTCACTGAATGAATTAACCGAAATWAAACACATCTTGCAAATGCACTGAATTATAGTATCATTTTTTATTGACTAAACATTGWCAAACTTGCTTTCTATTATTAAAAAGATTACAAATTAAATAAATTCCCAACAACAATCAGCTCACCAAGACAGCTGGGGTATTTTGGAAAAGATGTTAAGATGTAAAGGAATATATTATTTAATAAAATAAGTTGCATATAAGATTACATTGAGTGGATTATCATGGTTAAAACATCATCTTGCCCAACCATTTAGAAAGGGATGTCTTTAAAAATTAATCTAATAATTGCTTTCCTCATTCAAAAAGGTATTTATTTGTATCTAATATTAGAAAACATGTATGGGTTTGCCCTTAGTTCTTTTATGACTTGCTGTCATTCTTATCTGTTAATGTAGATCATTAACTTCTTCATATACCTTCCCTATACAGAATACTTTTGTGTTGCAAAATATTTCTTATTTGTATTGTAATCCAATCCAATACAGGAGCTCTGTGGGAGTTTCCAGGCTAGAAGAGGGAATAATCACATGTCCTTGACTAACAGCTGAACATAAGCAGGTAATTTATATTTGAGAAATAAACTGAGAGCCTGTCAGCATATTCACCACCATGGTAAAGGGAGTGTAAAGCAATGCTGAAAGCAGATCAGTAGCCTGCCTCTTATAAATCTGTCTAGCCTTTATTATGCTTAGAGAGCAGCAGCTACACACAAAATGCATTCCTGCAGTGGTCACCACATGCCTTACACTGCCACAGTTGATACTATCGAGGGGAAAGGTGCATGCGGCAAGTGTGAGGGTCAGATTCTTACATCAAATGCCACAAGCCAATTGCAATACATTGTTTAGAAGTAAAGCTACACAGTCAGGACTGAGCTGTCTGAGAACTGGCAGGAAAAATGTGCACTTCAAGACATTTATTGACAAGATTGCAGCTTATAAGTCATTTGTGGCATGTAATTTTTTACAAAATCAACAATAATTATATACTTATATTAACAGGCATTTTTTTAAACAGATAAGGCTTTCAGAACACGGATCCAAGTCAGTATGCTGAAGAGACACTTTAGTGTTGCTTTCTTCTAAACGAACAGCCTATAAAGAAATCACTGAGGTAAATGAATAGTCCTTAGATTGATACTGTCATGAAAAATTGCTCAGCCAAATTCTACTATTCCATGTCCTTAATAAATTTAAACTTTTTATATCACAAATGGTAAATTGCTGGCAGCTATTTCAGATAATCAGTCTTCTCATAAGCTACATGTGTATAATAGTATATAATGCAAGCACTACTCTATTGAATTTACATATATGTTTACCTTTTAAACAAAAAGTAGTAATTAAATATGGATTCACTCTTTAAATTAAACTCTCAAGTGTTTCCAGTATTTTAAGTGTTTTGTCCCTCTAGACTTGGTTCAGCACTAAAATTAAATAGACCATATATCTATTATAKTTGGACTAAAGGAAGTTCTAAGTTGAAGCATCTAAAAATCGAGTGTGATCAAAATAATATCTGCTTTGCTTAGCTCTTTGGCATGTTTGGCTACTCAAAACAGGKTTTTTTTTTTTCTCAATATCTGTTTTCAAAGCCCAAGTACTTACAGACTATAAACACATGATCTTAAGTGCAATATCGGTACTGTTAAAGACTGCCCCTTACCTTCTGTGAGCCTAGCCTTTCCCCCAGTAGGCTGGCACAGGACAGTTGAGCACCCGACACACAGAACTACTGTCTGGGCGTGACTGAATACCGTAGTGATCTTGTAGCATCCTGGAAAACATTATTAACCACTCTTGAGTGTTTTGCTTTTGTTTTTTTCTTTTTAACATAATAAAGCTAGTTCTCAGATACCATCTCAACTTGCAGCTTTTCACAGATAAAAACAAATTGGCGTTACCTTAATCTGCCATTATCTTAATCTACACAAGAGTTGTTCTACAGTTTAAGCARTCAACAGCATTATTTGATACGCACGACATAACAGCAGTTACCATTATGAAATGTGGTGCACTAACGATATTGCTTTTTCTCTTTTCAACCTGCTGGTCATGTTACAATGGCATTGAGAGGCATTCTATCTGTTCAGCTGCTTTACAGTTTTAGAGAGAAAAAAAGAYTTACCCAGGCCTTTTAAAACAGATAATTTTCAAATTATTTTCTGTATGTGTAACTGAATCAGCCTGTATTTTACAGCATACTAATTAAGCAAAGAGTTGCTAATATAGTTGGAAATACATGCTTTTATTAATATGCATCCAAAAGTGACAGCCAATTAAGTGATATTGTTGTGACTGTTTATATCAGAATCATCAACAAAGCTTGAAGAGCCTCCATTTATCTGTAGTCTGTCTCCTGCAAACAGGAAGCACCTGATATATATATWTTTTTATATCTCAGAAACTATTTAGGGATTTATCCTGCTGCTTTGTGAAACTGTTCCATGGTATTTATACTTCCTTAATCCATGAGCAAAAGGACATCTTTCTCATCGACAGCCTGAAAGAAGTACAGCAGCAGGAGGTTTTGTAGATACAGACTGGAGTATCTGCTAACAGATCTTTGAGATGATGCTTGTGTTGATTTGTCCTTTGTGTTTTATTTTTTATAAAACAAACAGGTATGAAAGTAGAACCTGTCACCTACTAGACRTTCTTCATACCTTCAAAACAATGTTATTTCTTAATGACATTAGTTCAGAAGACTCATTCTATGAAAGACAAAACATTTTGTAACTACAACTCAGGTCAGACTGCTGTAGCGCATCCCAATTCTCCTAACAGCTGMCTGCCCTTGCAGACCTCTGCTTTCCTGATGTCAAGTCTGATTCTGGACTTTCTCCACTGAATACAAGAATGCCTCTACCTGGGGAAACAGGTAATTTGCTGTGGTCCAGTACTGTTGTTGACAAAGTTTGGCAGTTGGGAATATAAACATTACTGTGCTTTCTGTTTAGTAAGTGGTACACATGCTGGGTGATATTCTGCTAAGCTTGTGACATATAACAGAAGGCTCACTCTGTTCCAAATCCAAAAGGAAGCATATTGTAGATAATGTCTGAATATCATTACTTAAGAAAGCAAAAATGGAACCGTTCTCATACATGTCTTAGACAAAGGGCTTCTTCACAACTTTCCTTTTAATTAGTCAAGAGAAATTGGAAAAGAAGGTTTTTAGAGATTGAAGTATTTATAATGGATTTCAATCTAGGTGCAAATATCAGTAAGACAGTACAAAATAGAATATAAGATGTGAGAAAAGTCATCTAAAACTGGAGAAAAAAAACTGACAAGGAAGCTGGCAAGCAAAGAGAATTCCTGAGAGAAAATGGCAACTCTCTCCTTTGTTTAAACCATAAATAGTGCTGTCAAATCTTTGTTTGCACGAAGAAAGAAAGAAAAAGAAAAAAAAAAAGAAAAAACCCTACTACTTTAAAACTTAAAAATAGTAAGTGTTGTTTTCCCCCACAAATTTGAAGTTTAAAATTGAGGAGAATTTATTTCAGGTTTTGTGAGAAAATGAGCCCAGTAATTTCAACAACTATTTAGCATCTTCAGCAACAGTGGATGATACAAAAGGCAGCCTGATGTCATGAGCAGTGCCTCAATGGCCATCATTGTTGGAGCTCTCCCCCTTTGCTATATACAACCCTAAAACTCAACAACCAATTAATCCAACAGCTATGAATGTAACAGATGACCTATGGGCCTAGGTCRGCTTTTCTAGCTTAGTAAGTGCATATATGAATGCTTGCTTGACTCAAGTTACATGTTTGAAAGTAAGTGGTACTAACTATTTTTAATAATCACACTTTTCCTTCAAAGTTTTAATTAATTTATATCATCTTTAGACCGAAAATAATATTTCAGACCATCCTAGAAATCTAAACCACTACAAAACTTATCCTGCTGAGAAAGAACTGGATAATAACGGATACAAGGAAAATAATACAGTAATGATTCACTGTGCTGGTTTGTGTCAAGACGATCACTTTTCTAAGTAAGTCCATGTATTTTCTTACTGCTTTAATCTTTAATTTTAGTTTAAGATACAGCTTATAGCCTTCTTATACTAGATGAGTATGTAAGAAACAAATTACAACATTTGACAATTTCTGTGCCTTGGTATGAATGCAGCTGTGCTGATCAAAGCAGATGGACACCGGTAGAGTATCCTTCTATAACTGTGCTAGAAAGTGTTAGGTTTTAGTGTGCACAGGAGAGGTTGTACAGGTGTTTCTAAGTCAAAATATTTAGAACCTGGGAAAAGGCAGACAATACCTTAAGTATGYCCTGTATGTGTGGGTTGGATGTCTTAACAGAAATATACAAAAGGGAATGTGGTCTGTTTTTTATATATGTTTTCTGGGTGTTCTTCCAGAATCATCCAACTTAAGAGAAAAAAATATATTTTTTCAATTTGAAAGTTGTGCAATGGATGCTTTAAAACATCCCTTTCACTTCAGATGTTTCACATGGAAATGCTGGCATCTGTTTTTTTCCCCACCTCTCAGGAAAGAAAAACCAAGCAAACCAAAAATAGTATCATTTCAAACCTCCACAAAATAAAGASCTGACATTTTAAATCAACTCTTAAAAAAATGTTGGAGCACTTTATTATAAACAAAACAAAATATTACAACTGTATTTTTTTAATCTTCAGAAGATACAAAYCACAGGTAGGTAAATGATCTTTTTTTAGAGGCCTTTTATGAAGCTGACCTATTTACAAAACCTGTTTAATTCTTTTAAGGCACAAACACTTTAAATATTTACCTGGACATTTTACATCCATAAAGTAGGAGTTTGGGCTCTGCACAAGACGTTTCTTTTTGTGCTTTTTCTTCTCATCCTCTAGAGAGGGATGTACTAAATCTCTAGCCAACTGGATAGGGAAAAAAAAATCAGTGAGGGTTAAGTAACGTTCAGTCTAGTTAGATAAGCAGTGTATTATGAACCRTATCATCTGCTGTTATAGGCTGTTCCCAGACATCGTGGCACAGCTATGGTTAACCTACCTCCATAACCACTTACATAATTTACAATAGCAGTATTGACTATGTATGTTGCCTGAATCCCAGAACAGACGCTGCAGGATATATATTAGCAATAACACTCTAATTCTAGCCCTAGAACAACGCAGCACTGCTAATACGCACAATTCCCTCGAATGAGAGGGGTGAAGCGCAGAGGAATCATCTCCCCCAAAAACAAACAAAAAAATCAGAGACGTTTTTAGGTGCTCACTGAGCATCCTGATTCCTGAAATGAATCTTTATAAAAGCAAGCACGGGGCTATCACTAGAAGACAGGGATAAGAAAAAAATAATATATCTATCTATCTATCTATATATATATATATATAAAGAGGGATTGAGCGAGAGACGAGGCATCTAAACGCTCACGCCCCGGCTCCGAGGCAAAGAGCCCTCGGGAGCCGTCAGGTGCCGCGCGGGAGCTGACAGAGCCCCAGGGCCGCCTCAGGAGGCGGCGGGCGCTGTGGCTGCCCCCGCGCGAGGGGGCCCGGCCGCCGCCGTCCCCCGGGCGCTGCTCCTGCCCCCCGGCCCCGCGCCGCCCTCCTCCCCGGCCCCGGTAAACAACTCACAGGCATGTTGGCCAGCGGAGCCGCACGCCACTAACCGCCGCCCCTTCCCCCGCCGCTTCCGGAGGGCGGGCGGGCAGCGCGCTCCCTCACGGGCCGTGCCCGCCCCAACGGCCGTAACGGTCCGGCCCTAACGGCTGCGGCAAATGGTGCCCGCGGGACCGGAACCGTGGGGCCGAGCCCTGGGGATAGGCGAGGAAACTCATCCCAACGYGGAGCTGGTTTTCAGCACTGGAAAAATAGAAGTGTGGTTTCCTTGCGTTTTATGTAGTTAAGTACCCCCTGCCTCCTTTCCTTCCCTAAACAAATTATTAAAGAGATTACATGCTAAATAGACTTCTGACGATGGATCTAATGTTTTATTACGAATAAATTAGGAAATCAATTTAGGAAAGGCAAAAGACCTTTTATAAGGTACTGCCCAGTGGTAAACACCGTAATGAGCCACTGACTATAACAGCCAACTGAGCACAGTTACTTCAGAGTTACTTCAGCTCTTTTTTTTTTTTTTTAATACATTCGTATTTTCTTTTTATGATTGAACACACATGTTGGAAAAACAAAAATCCCATTTTACAAATATTTTCCTTACATGTTCAAGTCTCATAAAAACAACTTGCCAGCCTACAGGTATGTAGTTCTCTTTTTTTCCAAGGCTCTTTCATGTGTTCATTGTACAAAGATCAAGGTCTCCACTTGAATTTGCAGATCTTAAATGGAGTTTGGAAGGCCATGTACTTTTATTCTAGATTTTGACTACAATGAGACTTAATATTTTATACTAAATGATACTTTGCTTTAAGCTGTATGTACGTATTTACTCTTTTGGAGTTTCCCACCCAAAGAAAAGCAAGAGTTTGTATATTAGTTACTATTTATACATTTAATTTAATTTAGAACACCTATGAGAAATTTAGTAAATGTTCACAGTAGGAACACAAAAGTAACCCTTAGTTTTGTTTTTAAGAGTTAGAAGTTTTTATGAGTAATAATTTTGAGTATRATTTGTAAGATTATTGGATTTAACTGAAACAAACCCCAAGCAACTGCATTTAAAAGCGTAATTCACTAAAGGTCCAGTAAGTGGCACAAATACATCTTATAAAAATCACTTCTAAGAAAGATTTTCCAAAAATGTAAAGCAGGCAGGATGTCAAGCCATATCTTTTTTGCAGGAAGAACTGTTGCATTTAGAGAAAAAAAAAAAAAAGTTGAAAATAGTTTAACTCAACGTAAAGGACTTCTCCATGCACCTTCTCTGAACTGCTTTGTCAGAAACTGACTTTGTGATATTAGACTTTAAAATCTAAATTGCATAATGCAGATTAACACAACTATTAAGAACTTAAAGTTGTGTGTTAATATGTTAATTTGTTAATAATGTTATAATAAATTTATTATAGTCTAGTAATAGYGCGTGAGTATGAAAGCTTTTTTTAAAAAAAATCTATTATTGACATTTCTGATTTCCTTCTGAGAATTGTTGTAATTTCTCTTAAAATAGTGAGGTAGCATTTCCTGCTTTTTCTTCCTGCAGGGTTTAAAAAAAAAAAAAAATCTGTGTGCACAAATGCAGACGTAAGATTTCATAGGGGGGCACATCCGAGGACAGTCTTCCTAAAGTTGGGATAGCATCTCCAATGCTCCCAGCGCACCAAGCCACCGAGCTTTCAAAATATGTTCTCCCTCTCACAACCCCACACATTATTCTGCAAGGAGAGCCCCAAGGTTTTGGTACTTTAAGCCGCTATATTGTTTTTTTCTCATCTCACAGTCAAAGCCTGCCTGTAGTGCTAACTTTGCATTTTTCCTTACGCCCGGGGGAGATGATGACACACGGCATGGGTATTTTGCAAGTCCTTTTCATTGTAGCAGCTTGGCAAGGCCCTGTCTCATGCTCTGCCTGCTGTCCTGGGCAGTTAGCAGCATGTACGTGTCATCAGTATGAAGCAGATGGCTCAAGTTCTTGCTTCCTTTTTTTTTTTTTTTTTTTTAAACACTTTTTGGTCTTTTCCCAATGTTTGGTATTTACCTGCAAGCAGAAAAGAAAGAACATATTAAAGTTATTGATTCTGAATCTGGAAGAGAATATTTTTATTTGGTTATCATAATATTTTCACATGGTAACAAAGTAAAACGAAACAAAAAGACATTTCAAGAACTGCCCTACTTCGCTTCTTCCTCCTAACTTTCTTTTCATAAATGTTTTTCCTGCAAGGACCGTACAGTGCCTGAGGAAGACTGTAGATTCACAGTTTAAAAGCAGGTTTCTGTGGAAGAAGGGACACACAGGATGATCTGAAAACAGGATGCGTTTGGGACACATCCCTCTATTTGGTTCTCTATTTTGGTTTTACTTAGAGATTCATTTCCTTTTCAAAGCAGCCTGTCATTGACCTGCTAAAGGAGTCAGCTCTAATGGATTACATTCAATTTTATGACATAAAGCTTTTTTTTTTTTTTTTTAAAGGACACTATTTGGAAAGCAGAATTGCAGCTTAGATCTTTATACTGCAAGTTAACTAGGAGAGAAATGCMGCCTGTTTTTGCCAGGTTTACACCACAGTGACATGGCCTACACGTTATATATACAAGTAAGTCCCAGAGAAATTACTTCCTCTTTCCTACCTTCCCTCAGAAAAACAACAACAACAAMAAAAAACTTYAAACTTATTTCAGAAAAAGAACAAGAAACACTCTGCTAGAATAACTAAAGAAAATTTCCAGAAGCTGTTCTGGAAATAATGACCGTTTTTTTCCACATAACGAGTGGAAATCTTTTGCTGTTTCAGAGCTGAGGCTCTCAGATGACACGCGTAGCGGTGGCTTCTCAACGAGCTGTGCCTGGGACGTGCCTGGTGACGTGGGAGGTTGCACCGGAGCGCCCGCCTGCACCCGGTATTACTCTGTTCTCTTTCTTTTGTAGCCTTCTGGGGGTGGGTTGGTAGGATTTGCCTTGTGATATTAGCAGAACACAGGCTGCCGGGGGCGTTTACAACAGGACATCTTTCGAATGGAGCACGGTCTCCAAGGAGATGTATATCAACTCTTCTTAAAAAAAAGAAAGAATTCACCCCAATAATGCTTCYCATGGCACATAAAGTGGGGGTAGGTGTCTCTGTAGCATTGGCATTAAAACTATTTAGATTTCCATATACTCACCATTTCCAAGCCGCACTCAGAACTAGATTCAAGTTCTGCCTGTAGTTTTGTTCACACTGCAGGACTAAGTGTAGTAATTTTTAACTGGYTATAGATTTATGGTATAAACCCTGGGAGGTGTTCAGTGGGTTTAAATAGGGTTGGTTCTTGCACAGTTCGAATTGATAAGGGAACTTGAGCAGCTCTGCTTTTATCATTAATCTTTCCTGCTAACAGACCTTGAACTTCATGGAACTTACAGATAAGGATCTGAGAGAGCTTTTCCTTTCTGGCACTGAAAGGGAGACCAAACTCTACATACTCTGTATTTTYTCTTGTTAATGGCTTGATTTAATCTCTGATACAAAATACTGCAGCATACACGTATATATATTTATATACACATATGAAGAATTCAGAGATTTAGGACATACTGAATGCGCTTGAGACAAAGTGTAGAACAAGCATAGAAGTATCCACCTGCAGAGAAAGGTGTGTTCACTAGAACTGGCAATTAAATGGCAGTTATCTAAAGGAGTGTCACATGATAGCCAAATGGTAATAAATTTCAGTGGCATCTGCCAAAATCAGGGTTGTTAAAGTTATATATGAAAACTAGTGTTATATTCATTACCAGAGTTCAGAAGGAGCAAAGCTCATGTCCAAGACCTGGACCTGTTGACTCCAATTAGTGCCAGAATAACAGAATCTTGGACCTCTGAATGTTTCAGATAATTATATTGTTTTCTGAAGCCTTCTCCTTAGACAATTAAGACTTAGAAATTCCTACAGTTTCATATCTGTTGAATGAGAACATTTTAAAGAAGGTTTATCACACAACATGTGTTCAGTAGGGGATCTTTTATGCAGATCCCCTGTATATTTGTAGAGAGCATAGAGAAAGATTTTTGAAAGTTAGAAGTAATGTGCCTGTCTTTCATTTAAGACAAATAGAAATGAGAATGAGAATTAAGGAACAAGTCCATTATATTGCTACAAATATAGATGTCAGTAAACTGGGTTTCAAACCCCAGAGACTGCCTTTCAACCTATTTTCATAGACCAAATATCATACTTGTTTAAGTATTAAGCCCTAAGTCTCAATTGTGCAATTGTATACCTTGCAAGACTTTACTATAATGCTTTACTTACAATTATACAATTGTAAGCAGCTTTTACATGAGGTGTATATACATTATATACATACATACATCTTTCAGTCTTTACATCTTGTTTTTAAAATAACTTTTGAAGTTGGTAGTGAAGTAAACATCTGTCCTCTGAGTATGGCAAATTGGCACTTTTCCAAATCAGAAAAGAACTCAATATTGCAAAGCACCAGTGTAATTAAAGAGGGAAGTAATTTGCATTATTTTTCTATAAAACTACTCTTGAGTAACAGATGGCAGTCACAAACACACTGCTCCAAAGACATATGGAAACCTATTTGTTCTATAAATCTCAGAGTGAATATTAACCCCCAAATTACTCTCTTCATTGCTGAAAGAAGATGATGCGGTAATCTTCAGAAGGGCCCTAATTACAGTACGTAGCAATTCTCTGTCTCTGAAAATACAGATATATGGAAATGTTTCAGAGATTTTTTTTTTCATTTACAGTTTCCTGTAATCTGATTATCCATGCTAGTCTGAGTAATTAATCTGTTTGGCTTTACTGCTTCAGTGCCAGATTGTCATTATCGTATGTAAACTTAAATCTTATAATAAGTACTTGAGCAGCCTCTCTTAGCGTGTAAACAGCCTAATTGCCAATAATACAGTACAAAAATGAACTAAGCGTGACCTAAGCCATGTTTTCAAATGCCCAAAAGCCCAAGTAGGGCTGAACTCTACAAATGTGTTAATACGAAACCAGCAAACCCCAAATCTTTGTTTTGCCACCTTGGCTCCCCTCCATCAGACAAGACCCTGATCTGCCACAGGTTTTAATCAAACAGTGACATGTTCACTTGAGTCACCAACACAGCATCTACGTTCTGAATTTAGATTTTAATACAATTAACTGTAAGTTTGATTAGCCTTTATGACAAACTTTTTTTGAACGCAGCTTGTGCAGCTTTACATCAGATTTAGCACTGGATCTTTTCTCACGATTTGTAATATGAACATATGTTGGTCAGGAACACCACCAAACCGAGTAATACGTAATTAAGAACATAATAACCCTCGTTTTCTCAGGGTTTATCATGAATTGAGAATCTTGTACATAACGAAAGCAGGGCAGCTGCTGAGATGAAGCGTCAGGGGCTGTTCCAGTGTCAGAAGCTGCCACAGGGCTGATCTTGCACAGGAATGAGGGAAAACCTACAGGGAGCTGAAAGAAACATTGCCATTTCAGACCTTGCAGGATGGCGGTTCCTTATGCTAAATAATTTGAATAATTATTGAATAATTTGGGATAAACTCCTGCTTTTCCTTGGTTTTCCTAAGAGGGAGGTAAGTATTCTTGCAGAGACTTACACAGAGAGCATTTCTCTTTATAGAATGTTTAGAGGTGAAATTACAACTCAAAAAAGTTAAAGCAATAGATCTTTGCTGTCATAGAATCATGGAACCAAAGAATCCTTAAGGATGGAAGGGACTTACCGAGTCCAACCGCCCTGCACGCGCAGGGTCAGCTAGAGCATGTGGCACAGGCTGCATGGAAGCGTGTTTTGAAGAACTCCAGAGAAGGAGACTCCACAACCTCTCTGGGCAGCCTGTTCCAGGGCTCTGTCACCCTCACTGTCAAGAAATGTTTCCTTAAGTTCTTGTGGAACTTTCGGTGCTTCAGTTTGTGGCCATTTCCTCTGGTTTTATCCGTGGCTACCACTGAAAAGAGGCCGCCCCCTCCTCCTCCCTCACTCCCTTGAGGTATCTATAGACACTGCTCAGGTCCCCCCTCAGCCTTCTCTTCTCCAGGCTGAACAGGCCCAGCTCTCTCAGCCTTTGCTCCTAGGGCAGATGTTCCAGGCCCCTGATCATCCTGGTAGCCCTGCGCTGGACTCTTCTCCAGCAGCTCCACATCCCTCTTGTCCTGGGGAGCTCAGGACTGCACACAGTCTCCAGATGTGGCCTCACCAGGGCTGTGTAGAGGGGCACGATCACCTCCCTCGACCTGCTGGAGACGCTCTTCTTAATGCACCCCAGGATCCCGTTGGCCTTCTTGGCCACGACTGCTGCTTCATGGTCAGCTTGTCGTGCACCACAACGCCCACGTCCCTCTCTGCAGGGCTGCTCTCCAGAAGGTACCTGGGGTTATTCCTCCCCAAGTGCAGGACCTTGCACCTGTCCTTGTTGAACTTCATGAGGTTTCTCACCGCCCAGTTGTCCAGTCTGTCACGTTAAATAGTTCAGGAATGTTATTTATAGCAACTTGTGACATCTTGTAAGGAACACAGTATAAAAATACATAACGAGGCTCCCTCACGCTAAGAGATAATTAGCTGTGTCAAAAGATGGGAAAACGACTTTATTCAGATGCTGTAAAAAACCCACACACTGCTCTGGAATACCCACGTTTTTAACTTAAGACTGGGTGAAAATAATTTTCTGTGTTGCATGAATTACAGTTTGTCCCTTACATGATGCTCCCAAATGAAGACTTGGAGGCCACCCTCTCCATCCACTTTTCCCTCCTACTTGTTAACGAGGTACGTGTAGCCGAAGGGCAGCATTACACCGTCAGTTATTGGGTCACTTCAGATAAGCACCTGACTGTAGTTTACAAGTTGGCATCCAAAGAGGACTTATCCCAGCGCCTTGCCGAGCGTGGCCGCGCGATTGCTGGGGCTAGCTAGCGCTTCCCGCAGCGCCGTTAGACGCGGAGAGCCCCGGCTCGTGCCGCGGCGGGGCCGCAGCGCGCGCCCTGCCCCTCGCTCTCCGCCAGGAGACGCCGCGGGGCCGCGCTGCC